TTCAAGAAGAATCGATTTTAGAGTCTACTAATATGTAGAAAATACATACACATTTTATTTCTCCCTGACGAATTGTAGTTTATCTCCCCAACGCCGGGGTGGGGGAGGGGGAAGCTTTCCTCGACGGGGACTATCTACTTTGTATAGATGTGTATAAGAGACCACCCCTGAGGCGCAAACCGGAATCGTTCACGACAGATGAAACATTGTCCATCTTTGTAGCTCCATAGTAAAATGAGACTCCTCCTTACACCAAAATAAAGAGTAGCAAAAAAGCATTGCTATCCTGGGGGTACAGTATACCTGTCAAAGAGGACAGCAAAAGTTCCTCTTCAAAGCCTCCTTGTTCATACTGCACTGAGAATTATCAAACAATCATAAAACGACCATTATCGATACTTTTACAATATAGGCCTAATACGATTGGGGACGGAATTATATGACAATATATGATTATCATTATCATTATCATGACATTGGTGTAGGCAATGTCTGATAATTCCATGGAATCTCAGATGCAAACACATTTTACATTTAAAAAATGTAAAATTAGGTTGTCTGGAATTATGAATTTTGATTTTGATTTATATTCACTGTAAGATTAACAATAGAAATTTTACTAGATGTGTATAAGAGACAGCAGAAAAATGTATTTTGATGACGTCATGGAAAATACAAAAAGTTTTCCACAGAAGTTCTTTTGTCCCAAACCTCCTTAAACATTTCAAAATTAATTTGTAATTTCACTGTTCCCTGGTATTACAATGAAAACTGACATCGTCCAATCAGAAAACAGCACAAAAATGACGTCACATAGATTTGGAAATGCTTTTATTGAATTCTACGGGTATGAAAACCTCTAGATAAGTCTTGTATTCGCTCAGATTAGCTTCTGTAATGAGTAATTAATTTTGGCACGCTTTGACTTCAATCTGGCCCGCTTATTCGAGAGCGGCGCTTATAAAAAGAAAATTTCGGCGTGGCGCTTTCCATGGCCGTTCCAATCTTACCTATCTCACGTATTCCCGTAATTCAGTTGGCTTATCATAGGTCTACGTCATCGTAAATAAACGTTTATAAAGAAATGTTTATAAACATTTCTTTATAAACGTTTATAAAGAAATGTTTGTGTCTCCATTGTGTTAATTCATTTTAACACCGTATACATTTTATTTAAAACCCTGTTTCTCAAAGTGTTTCATTACACACAGGGTATTTATTTTATTCGAGCATTTACGGTATTGTATTATACCATGGAGGATACTGATTACTGAGTTCATGTTTATTTTAATTTACACAATACAATTTAAAATACAAAAAAGTTAATTAATACGTCGCATTCATGCTATTTTTATTCGTGTCTACAAACATTTCGTATTTTGGTAATGTAAGAATTGAAGGTGCACTGAAGATGATCTTCTGTACAAGACTGACATGCATAGAACTTTCGAATTCTGATTTCTCTTGCAGAGAACTATTTTTACAGTTCGAGTAAATTAGCTGCGTTAGTAGATATCACTAATGAATATCATATCCACAGAGTCACTCAGTTTTATGAATTTGTTTTAAATGAAAGTTTTTATATTTACGGAAAAGATTGACAATTCTATACAAATGATAACCGTATTTGTTACCGTAACTCTTATTACCTTTCCCCCCTAACCCTAATGAATGGTTTACGCTAGTAATAAATACTAACGATAATCAAAACCTTCTTAACTATACCAAGAGGAGCCTTAGACTGCAAAAACATCCCAAGATATATATATTTTTTTGGAAATATTAAAATTAATATTGATTAAAAACATCATTTGCTGACAATGCATGCTAATTATAATCATCTTTCTAACACTGATGATAGAGCGTTTGTCAGAGAAACAATATACAGATCAAAGGAGGCAGTTGACATATGTATTTGGAACATGCTTATGATTAGCCTCTCAGGTAATCAAATCCAAACAATATGTTAAATTTTCTTAATTTGATTTCTATGCACATCTGAAAGACGAAATGCAGCCATCAGCTATTTTTATTAATTAATATGGCATAGAACAATCATCTCTGAAATCAATTTACAACATTTAAGAGTGTAGTGGTACTTACGAAAAAAAAAACAAAAAACTTAACAATGGAAATAATTACAGAATTAAAGTAGAATTACTATATCTGTTTTTAAAACAGAACATAGGGCTTTGAAATATAGTTAAATAACCCATTTTTTAATATTTATTATTAAAATATGTAGAATGACGTGTATTTTAATATGCACATCTTTGATGTCTTTGCTTGGTCAAAGTTTGAAGAAGATCCAAGTACGGAAAGTGATCAAAGTCCCGAGCAGAAAAAAACCATGTGCAAAAACATATGAAAATGAGAGAAGGAAAGAAAAACATATCAAAACAAAACATGGCTTTAAAATCTTTCAAATTTAACAGAAAGTCAAAAGTAAAACCGATACACGTATAAATTGAAGACCTATAAATATATTATAGGCACCATACATGTATATCATACGGTGGTTTTCCCGCTTAACCTTATCCTGCGAAAACTGGATGTTGAAGCAGTATGGTGTACCATAAAGGAGGGCATATTGACTATACAGTACACATAAACTTGACCTGGGTTTTCTTCGTTTGTATGTTTTTTAACCCATGTATCAACTTTGCATTGTACCGTAATGCATTTAAAAATACTCCAATGTATAATATTGTATAATACAGTTAGCGGCTTCCTGTATAGTTTAATTTTAATTTTAGAGCCTCTCAGGCCCATCCATGGTGGGCCTGAGGTGGGTGTGGACTCACGAAATGTCCCCTTCACTTTTAGAAACAGATCTGCGCCCTTGCCAAAAACCACACCTCCCCAACCCCCCTCCCCCCTTTTGGTGCTTTGCAAATCACATTTATCCACCCCCATTGCTAAATCCTAGATCCGCCACTGAAGTATTCAGACTGGAAGCGATGCTTTGCATTTTCTTGATCTTTTGAGAGAGGCTGGGCAAGTGGAAATTTCATTAATGAGAATGATCGCCAGTGAAGTTTTGGGACTGTAAATCGGTGGTATCTTTGATTTGCGGAAGAAATGTAATTGTTAGAAAAAACGGATTAACTTCCGTTTAGAAAGATAACTTTATGAAGATAGGCCTATTGGCAGTGGTAATCGTATTATACAATATTATACACATTGTCTTGTACAGCGGCCCCATCGGCCAAAGCTCGTCGGGCAGCCGGACCAAAAAAAAAAGGCCTAGTCTTATCATCATTTCCGGCCATCTAGAAGTCCCAATTCTAGAAGCCCTCAGATAACGCTGCACGCTATAGTTAAACCCATAAATACTTACGGCCCCCAGGCCGACATCTTAGCTCTCCCACACATAAATTATATCCTAGAGCCGCCACTGCTGTTACGGTATCTATAATTATGCTGGACAATAATAGGTGATGGATGCGTTGTCAATTTCGTATATTTTTTTTTTTTTTGCTTAATCTAGTTGTCTACTTGATTATGTTGGTTAAAAAATGTACAGTGATTGATTCAATTAACTGCGGTATAGTGCAAAGAAATTAAAAATCAGGGAATTGTTAGTAACTTAATACCTGTACAAGCAAAGGTTCTTATGTTTGACCAAGTCAAATCAGATTATAAGTGAAAGTGCAAGGAAAAAACGTAGTAGCGGATCCAGGAATACTAAATATAGTATTACGAATTGATACTGTATTCTGAATCCGATTAAACTTCACCCGTCAGAATCCACTTGGGACTCTCTGGCAATCTTAACGAGCAAAATAATTTAAGGGTACACACGCGAGGGTTTCATTTTAGAGTCAGTCTCAGCATACAGCATACAAACGGTCCTTGAGAAAAGCGGTTTTGGGTTTGTTAACCTACCCCCTGAAGCATTTTAGTATTTAAATGGTGAACTTTTGACTGAAGAAAAGGGGGAAGTAGTTTGGTTTACAGAATTACGATTCAGCCATACCAGTTTGACCAGTGTATGGTTCCGACTCAAGTCACTAGTGCAAAATACTGATTTTGAAGAATACTTGTGCTTTCTTATTGAAATACTGCACTTAATTACATACTGTACTTCAAAACATTCATACCATTCTCGCCTCTACTTCGACCATTGCTTCTTCAAAATACTGTATGTATGGTATGTTTATGTATGGAGGTCTAGTAGTTAAAAATTTTAAATTCTGTGCCACCATAAATGTACTGGTGTAATCAGTGGCGTATCTAGGGGAAGGCATGGGGGAGGGCGCACATCCCCAAAAAATTACGGTCTAAGTAGTTAAAAATCACCATATTTTGCAAAATAGTGCCCCTCAACTGATCATCGAGCCCCCACTTCACCTTCGCGCCCCTCCCCCAATTCAAGACTTCTAGATACGCCACTGGGTGTAATTTCAAACAAAATACAAATACAGTGCTGAACAAGGAATCAATTTCTTTCAAATGTTGTTTCATTTATTCAAAGTAAACCAATCCAGACACTTTGCAATTATCGTAACAGCAATGCAGAACACGCAACAATATTTAGGGCCATTTACATTTATATATAAGTGAACAAACAGTTCTCTTAATTGCTAACCTTTCAGTTTCCCTCTCAATTTTGCAACACTTCACGGTTTTACTGTGTATTAAGCATGATAAGAAATATTTTTATATACTATCTACTGTAAAGTACTTTTAATCTAAATTTAAAGTACATTTGAAAGAATACATATCTGGACACCCTTCCCAAACTACTACAGTATTTGAAACTTGAAAATAATGTGAAAGGTAATTCACTGTTTATATACACTTATCATTTTCCTTATCAAATTAAAAAACTGAATAAAGAAATGGTAAAAAAAGTTAAGATTACTCTAAACATAAACAATACTTTTAATTATCTTGACTAACGCCTGTTTTCTACTAGTCAAATTTATTCGTGCAAATCAAGAGTTTGACAGTAGACATGTGCAGTTCAATTCTTATTATTTCTTACTTCTTCACATTGTTTGCGTTTTCGCTTGTAGTGTTTCGCTTTGACGAATTCGAACAGTTCCTTTTTGTGAAGCAAAATAATATGCATCTAACCACATTTTGGGAAAAGAATTAATTGCGCCAATGAACACAGAATTGAAACGATCAATCTATGAATTACCACTGCATGCAATTAGCAACACAGCAATGTTTTTGAAAATACTTTTTTGCTAATGTAGTTGAAAATACGCCAAGATTACAAGATTTTCTTTACTGGGAAACTTTTTGTCTTGTGCGAATGAATTTGCTTAGTGGACAACAGCCTAAACCTGGAACATAACTAAACTGTAATATAACTGTATATAGTATACAAACCTATGCCACCTTTTCTTTATTCATATTTTCTGCTATGCATGATCATGTTACTTTTGTACATTACAGTACAGTACTTACATGTTACCATAATTTTTCTAGACTTACTAGTATTACAGGCTAGCCTTCAACAAGGTGCAACGAAGGCTAACTGCCTCAGTCATGGCTCCTTAAAAAGTGGTAGGCCAAGCTATTGGTGTTGGAAGGAAAAATGAAAAAAAAAAGTTATATAAAAATTCTAAACATATATTCTCTGAAACATTCTTTATTATGCATACAACTATCAACACATGACTACTCAGTCCAGTAATTATATTAGACCCCATTGGATGGTCAGGGATCATAATTTACGCTAGTAAAGGGCAAGGGTTTGCTTTCTACATCTGGTATAAAAAAAAAAAAAAAAAAAATTCAACTGTAGGCCTACAGTAAATAATTTTATGTAAATGTTTTTGCAATTAAAAATTGTTTGAAAATTCTCCTATATAAGGTTGACTGTTGCAAAAATAAAGATTGATTCAGAGATATAAGGAACTCATGCAGAGATTGGATATGAATGAATTTTGTTTCGAAGATTTATTTTAGTGTCTATTTAACGGCCTCCAACCTCCCCTTGTAGCCGTCCGTTCCACCCATTTTATTTACAAACCATATCAGTATTATACAAATGTACATAATAAACAGGGAACAACCTGGACATAACTCCGCATAAGATCCTTTTAGTTGGCTGTTAAAATTAACTAATGTCAAAGTCCCACATTTAGAACGAACAATTAGGAACTTGTTTAAATTAATAAACTTAGGAATCTAAACAATGCAATTTATAAAGCAACATTAATATTAGAAATGTCAACTTCCATTGTACTAAAGCATATAAAATTTAATTTGAGATGAGAGTGCCTGTAATTATCAACATTTCAATAATTTGGATTGAACTATTTTTTAGCATTTTTTCGAGTGGAACAAATGTGTTTGTTTCAGAATAGTATAAAGCATAATATTTTGAGCAACATACAGTATGATTGTTAGGTTAACTACTAGTGTACGGTACATAAATGAATTTTAATATGGAAGCTTTAAATGAATAATCGCTGCAACAGCAAGTGCCGTAAACACCTGTCCAATAAAAAAGATGATTTTTTATGCCCATAATATATGCTAAAAAGTTTCATCATGATTATGTAGTACTTTTATCAGCACTTTCACTGATCAAGCTGTTTCTATAGATCTTTCAACACTGATGTTGCTTCATAAAAACCCCTATCTAGCTATCAGGAAGCACTGAAGAATCTCCTTCAAGCAGGAGCTGAAACTGTGGAGCACCTTCCATGCCTGCCACAATCCAACACCAGCTACAAGGGAAATGCTTCCAGTGCTGTGCTATGTAGCAGCGTGGGAGACCTTACCATTTGCGCAGGCTACTGAATATACTGCAAACAGTCTGCAATTATTCTGTGGAGAAAACAAAGGGCTTTGAAAGCAGATTTCACATGTGTCCTATACATCCAATATCAGCAAGGGTCAGGTAGTACTTATTCTGGAGAGAACTTTAAAACCAAACAACCATTAGGGTCTAAATAAATGTATTTTGTTTGTTTGTTTGCCAAAGATTTTCATCAAATAAAATCATTCATTCTCAAAGACAATCACACTGCTTGAAAAAATCTGTATATATTTGTTATGTCAGATTTGTTTACTGTAAAATTAAATACAGTATGCTGCTTCTTGTTAGCAAAAACAAAGACACTCGAATTTGAAAAATTTAGTGAAAGTGCACACACAACTTTTTTTGTGTAAAATATTATGATATTTGACTGTTTTTAATTCCACTTCCAGAATGTAATTTTAATACTATCTAGTCAAATGTTATAAAATAATCTGTATCTTAAATAGATTGGTAATGTAATCAGTCCAATCATTTCAGCAATAACATTTTCTGTAAATATTTAGATATTTTTCTAATTACATTTTTTGTATAGACATTTCTAACATTAAATTTCACTAAAATGAAATCAATTTATTTACATTTCAAATTTAGTATAATTTTTTTAGAATATACTTTCTAATGCGAGTAAAATACGCAACTGTCATAGACTACCGAATATACAGTAAGATTTAAGAATCAAGTAGACTAATTATATAATTAAAAGCAAAATCATACAGCACTAACTTTTTTGTATAAATTTTGACAATTTCAGTGCAAATACATTAAAATTATTTACAGAAACAAATATTTTTGTTAAATATCTTTGCAATTTATCATAATTCCTTTAGATTTATCAATTTTAGTGAATTTTTAAAATATTTTAACACATTCAATAAACTAATGTAAAAATGTCCATAAATGCCTTATTCAAAAACAAATTTAGAGCAATACATTGCGAGTTTAAAAGCAGCGGTATAATTTAAAGCAGTTTTTTTACTGCAATTTAAAATAATTTAAGTTCTTTTTGAATAAAGGTAGTCCTCAATCGCTTCAAAAATTTTGAAATTTTGCAGCAGATATCATTTGCTTTCGCCAATTGAATCAAGTCCGGTGTTTGAAGTTTCTATTGAAGTAGTTCTGCTTTCCTCGTTTTTCATGATGGAAAGAGCACAGACCCACACAAAAATGTGACTGATACCGACCATTTGAATAAATAGAATACCAGGTTGACTGTACAATTAACAGGATGTTGAAAAGCTTGAACAGCAGTGTCAGAAATCTGAAGTGAAAAAAAATACATTAGCCTGAAAGCTTAAAAAAGTGCACAAAATATTAACTTAATGAGAAAATGAACACTTATCTAAATTTCTTAATTGTTGTACACTACAGTCTTAAACTAATGCAACACAAGTATTTTCTTATGATTAGTTCTCTTCTGAACAATAAAAAAAAAATGGTTTCATTGTTCTGGATATGAATGAATTTAGTACAGTAGTAAAAATACCGACCATTAAAAAACACATTGTCTTTCAGTCAGATTTCATCTTTGACCAGCCTTCGACTGCTAGCCGACGTATCCACCTGAATAGTCGTCTGTGCTCTCCTACTACAATGATAACAGAATTCAAGAGACACATTCTTCCCAGATACATGAAGGCAGACACCTGCAGTTGGAGGAATATCCTTTGAAAATTCAGTTTTCTGTTCAATTAATCTGTCCGACTTCCTCCTTTCACCTTCATTACTCCTCCTAGGTACAGTTTTCCCTTCTTTCTTAATAATTTTGTTATCTATCTGTTCAGAATACAAGTTTTCACTCTCATCGGTTTGTGTCCTTTTTCTTTTTAGTGGAACTTTAATTTGGTCACATGATACGCCCACTACATCAATTTCTTCTTCAGCCTTTGATTGTGTGATTGAGTCAATGTCCTCGGATTTGTCAACAATGGTCTCCATTGATGTGTGGAAATTCAGATTAGTTGCTTGGATATTTGATAGTAACAATGACAAAGAGCTTTGATTAGCTAGAATACCTTTCAAATAACTCACTTCAGTCTCAAGTGAAGAAACCCTAGCATTCAAAAAAGTGTTGTTTTCAAGCAGTTTAGCATTTTCAGTCTTCAAATTGTTAACACTTTCTTCGAGACCTTCGACATGGTTTTTCTTACGCAACCTATTCAAGCGAGCTGCAATTGCATTTCGATTCATAGGATCACAAACTTGAAGGTCCTTTTCTAATTGTTCTATCAAAGACATTTCTTTAGACTTGGTTAAATTTTGTGACTTAACCGGCCTAGGCCTAACATTTACATTTTCTTTAACAGGCCTTGTGGAATCAATTTTCATTTCTTGGTGGGGCGTGTTAGTGACGTCATGATTCAAATCCGGTTGCGCAGACACTGCCGCTTTCTTTATGATTTTTAACGTTGGTGTTGGTCCACAATTTTGAGCTTTTCCCATCAAAAAATTTACCAGTTCACTTTCATCTTTAGATGAGGTAACCATCACCTTGATTACAGATTTTCCTTTCGATGATTTAGGCACTAAAGTAGGGTTACTGTTTGGGCTAACAATACCTTGTTTCACATCCGGAACAAGCTCAGCCTGGGCCTGGCATTGGTCGTTGAAGTCCATTGCGTTGTCGATCGGGTACGGCGCTGAGGCAAGCTCGTCGTCGAAGCCGTTGTTCAAAAAGTCAGTTTGGACGGAATCCAGAAAAGACAAATCAGGAAAAAGATCCATTTCGCTGCCGTCATACGGAGGACTTAGGTCACCAACAAACTGTTGATGTGTTCCAGATGTCACACCATACATTATTTTATTTTAAACAATACAGAAAACACGAGTTTTGTGTGTTCAATACAATCGCACAAAACAGCATACACAACCGTTCAAGAGGCTCGGTGTAATGGCTGGATCAACCAAACGTTTCCTCAACGTTGGTTTTCAGCATAGATCACATGACGTATCACGCGGGACATAAGTACTGTACGTCATTTTCTATTTCTGTCCTAAGTCATACCCCCTCTATAAATGCACCAAATCTTTGTGCACTAATACCAAAGATCTTTGCTTTACCATACTCGGGTTATGTTATGGTAAATAAGACTCAGTGTTGCCAAAAAGACCAATGTAAATTTCCTCCTTGCGTTTTTAATGAATACTTTGTAAAGAGAATAGGCAATACATTATTGTACATCAGAATTTGTGCAATAAACCAATCCGCTTTTCCAAATTAGAGACTTTATCCACAAACTCTGCATTATCAGTTATCATGCAAAAAGCGAATCATATTGGATAAATCCACCTTACTTTTATGTGCAATAAATTTTTCACCTTGTCTTAGCATTCTGAACATAATACAATTTTTAATGACCGGCTTTCTTTTCATCCTGTAATCTTTTAATAGCTGGTCTAAATAATATACTTGATTAAATTTCGCAATAAAAATTGTGTAAAAAGTTTTTGATCCACTCACTCATGCTTTCCCTCAGTTTTTTCTTTTATTATTTTTTGTCTACTCACCTCAAATTTATCATTATAAAGCACACAGAAGCTTTTTTGCATCATTATCATAATAATAATATTAATAATAAATATAATTATAATATGTTAGAAGGTCTCTAAGCATTTACATTATTACCTCCAGCCATTGGATCAAGCACATAACACATAGCTCCCTGGGAAGTTACTTATTCCATAATGTTGCAGCTGTAATAACCTAGCAGGTGACAAATAATGCCAGTTCTGAAGGCACGAACAGTGGCTAGGGTCCAGGCTGGAGTTCAGGGGGCCGCCAAGGGCTCCTGGTCGGGTTCCAGGGGCCTTCGGCCCCTGGACGCTTGGCTTAAATGGCATATCTAATCGATATTAGTGAGTTTATATAATAATCTCAGATACAGTGGTTATTGAAAGATAGTTTAAGATAACAAAAGGCATCTTCCCTTCTTATGAAAATTGAAAAAGAAATAAAATTTACTCAAATTTTGGATGAGCCTAAGTTTCGCCAATGTTTGCGTAAGACCATGAGATTTGATTGGAATGCGTTACTTACGGCGAATGTGTACTGATTGACAGGTCTGCGCAACTGCAGTTCTAAACCACTCCTACGCAGTGGCGTATCTAGGGGCGCACACCCTCCGACAATTACTTGCATCCCCCTCCCAGTCCCCCCCCCCCGAAAAAAAATCATGGTTAAGTAGTTAAAAGTCACCTAAATTCACCTTTTTTTTAAGAATTAGCGCCCCTCAAATGATCGAGCACCCCCCACTTCAACTTTGCATCCCCCCCATCAGCACCCTCATTTCCAGATCTCTAGATACGCCACTGCTCCTACAAATCGTTCATCATGGGCCGGGGCCCTGTGGCTTTCTGAGAGTGGGACCCTTTTGGGTTGTGGTCACCAACTCCATTGTGGGATTTTAGATGTGCTCTTTTTTTTAATTATGTTTGTCATTGCATTCTAAATGTTTTAACGTATAAATAAATGATATGGTATTAGTAGCAAATTCAGGAACTTTGTTTAATTGTAAATCCCAATTTTTAATGTTAATTTTGATAGCGATTAACAGTATTTGAGGAATTATCTCCTTCAGTATATATATTTCCTTCCACTATGACACCATCCACATTTTAAATCACAGAATCATGTAAGTAAATTAAAATT